TTTTATTCAGAAGTTTCTCTGGTGAATCTGTACATGTAAAAGTCGAAAAAAAAACCTACTTACCCAGAGGCATGGTAACCATAGACCAGCTAGTGCACATCACGTGGTATCTATGTTCCCATGGAAACCAGTCAGCCACGATCAGGTATAATGGCGATACAAGAATGTTTATCCCTAGACCATATAGGACCCCATGGGAAAATATAAGGTATAGCACACTGGGGGCAATTGCAGATAGGCTTAATCCTAATACAACCAAAACAGTCCCAACGAATGCTGAAATTTTATAGCCACAGTCATGTGATGTGATTTTTCCTATGAAGCTCAAGGCAGCGCAGCACAGGAAGAAGACAGATTGGATAACACCTGGGAGACAATATACAATTCGTAAGTTTAAGTATAAATAAACGAATACGAGAATAAAAACACATAAAACATGCTGTTAAGTTGAAGAAGATAACCTTTTTCTTTATACAATAAGGTATCCTGAATATTAAATGTGTAACAGCGGCGTTTTACTGAAACAGTGAGAACATGTATGATTATTTATAGGTAGGCCTATCTGTATGTTTTTTTTTCTGAGACGAATCCAAACACAAGCACATGTTTAGAAGCGACAACAGACTGTATTGTGGCATGATCAAATCTAAGTGTACATGATTTTAAACAACTAAATATAATAGATTTTGATCCACTTAGCTCAGGCTAACCCTAACCATATTATAATTAAATGGAGCACGGAGTTTCTGCTACACGGACACCCACTGGGCCAGTTTCGTTTCGCAGGGTCAGGGATCCGTGTCCACCCCCCCTCTCTCCGACCCATTTGCTAGCTGAAAGCAAATTCATTTTATGGACGGTATGAATAGAGATGGGCATAGTTCTCTGCTTGACATCCAAGGCAACTACCGCAAAGTATGTATGGACAATATATGAGGCAATGACTATATATATAACCCTTTGGCCCATGTCTAATGGACCCAAGCGTAACTTACAATATGCATGATAACGGCACAGCTGGTAAACGAATAACAAAAGTTTAGTTTACTTTAGGAGCGTGGTCTAGATATGTATTGAGGTATTAAAACTTCCTGAGACAAATTTATTAATTTTCTCAGAAAAAAAGGTCTGGCGTGGCCAAAAGATAACGCCACATCCCTTAAAACATTTTAAGTTTAGGTAGAAACGGGGGGAAAAGCTACGTTGACCAATTTAGGCCCATTTTTTTTACGTATCTGTCTACTGAATCATCGGCCATTCAGAAAAAAGTACGCTGCTTTCAATACACAAGTGGATCAATTCTGCTCATCCGAGCTGACAACTTTAAGATCTGATACAAGATATAACCTGTATAGCTGAACTCTCAAACGTCTGCTATTCTGCACTATTTATTATATCTTGTACAATGCGTTCCATTTTGTTCTCCAGGTCCTCCAGTTTGTTTATCTGACCGTTATTTTCTATTTCTTTTTCCCATCGTGATAGTAGAATTCTCAAGTATCTACTCGAACTAAAGGCTAGCAGAGTGATGACCTCAGTTCTATACATAGATTATTGCAGTGCAGAAAAATGCACAAAAATAAATTTTCTATTGAAAGCAACACCATGTTGTCCTGATAGAGGGTACCAATTATCCATTCTGTCACGCCAGACAGCGGAATAGGTGGTGCAAACAATAACCAAAGGCGGAGGCAAAATGGTGATACTTTTATTCAAGAATTCGAAACATTGAGAAGTGACACAAAGTTCAATAACCTACACATATCACTCTGCAGCAGTGACCCGATACATATTGACAAGCCACATACTAGTATGTCTTTTATAGTGACCTGTTTTTTTATCTACCCCAGATTACACACCTGTACGCATGTCCTTCACCAGCTATTGTGGTCGACCATGCATATCTTTTGAACAATCAGTCGACAAGCAAAGCCAATGCACTTGACTATCTTTCATGTGATATTTTACAGTTTACTTCTTTCTAATGTGTCATGTTATTGATATCTAATTGTGCATAACGTTTTCTATGTGTAAATGTAAACCTAAGAGCTTGTCCTTAATACTCAAAAGGGTTGTCATACCCTTCCGAATTTTTAAAAATAAAATAATGTTACAGGTGTTTAAAGCCACATTAGTGTTGATATTTTGTTTATTTCTTCACCACACTAATCAGTGGCCATTACCTATGTCAAATATGAGCACATATCAACGTATAGTAGATCCAAAGTAAAGGGTGTGAGAGTATGCGAATAGATGTTGCCAGCTTGGCTATAAAAGGGACATTTTTGCCTTGATATAAAGCGGATCACTGGGCTAGATGAAGTCTAACCTCCAGCAAACTATAGCTAAGCCAGGACCGACTGACACTAGTCGTAGGAACCAGATGGCTGCATCCAATGAAATGGGCCTCAGGAAAACCAGCATTGCCAGAGGGACTGGGTTGTTTCAAGATGAAGAGTACTCCAGATGAGAGCTGCCACCGAAAGTGTGGCGGCTCGTAATTCCACAGGTCGACCCATGCCACTGACGCCCGTACTGATCGTATCATCATCAAAATTGTCAGAAGAACCGGCACTTAGGCTGCGTTCACATGAAAAATCTATTTTCTAAAAATCTAAAAATCTATTTACGGTATCTTGTGATCACGATCTGTGCCCTGAATACCCCGCGGCGTAATTACGGGCAGCGCCGAAAATTAATTACAGCTTTGGAAGTAACTGGCTCCTGCTGCCCGTAATTACGCCGTGGGTATTAAAGGCACAGACTGTGATCACAAGATACCGCAAATAGATTTTTAGATTTTTAGAAAATAGATTTTTCATGTGAACGCAGCATAATCTGCCATTGGCATTGCTTCAGAATCCCCGCCAAACTGTTCATAGGAGACTAGAGTGATTAAACATTTTGCGACTGCGACGATACAACTGTACAGTAAAAAAATTACATTTGTAACAAAATCCATAATTTTGTTCGGTGTGACAACCATTTTGGATAACAGAGTACTACCAATGACACTGAAGCATGCAACAATTATCGATTCGGAAAATAGGCCAGAGACATGTCTGTGAACATCTAATGAAAAATCAACCTGTGAACTTGGAAGTGGGCACTTCCTTTACAAAGCATGTGCTGTCAATAATAACATTAATAATAATAATTTTACCAAAATTGGCGACCGGCTTGTCAAAATTATCATTCATTAATTTTTTTTTGTTGAGAAGGAAAACTGAAAGTTTAATTAAAGGTTTTTAAAAAGTCGTTCAGTGGCGTTTTGATTCAATACATTTTTTCGGGGAAACCAAATTTGAGTTAGTTTCAACGTTAGGTTAAAATCCGCATTTTAATGGCGGGTTTCAGAAAACCCCTGGATACTCTCAGCGTTTGGATCTCGTAAAGACATTCATCCCATTGAGGGTGAGCCTTCCTGGCTGGGAAAGTTCTCTGGATATACTAAAACGACTTACCTATGGTTGCTTGAGACGAGGATCCCAACATAGGATCCTTACTAAAAGTGGTCACAAAAACGCCCCAACTCATCTTGATGCCATTATGGACAAGAAACAGTACAGATGACAGCAATACAATCAGCCACCCGTGGTACATCGTTAACTAGACGAAAAACAGGTCCATGATGCTGTAAAATTAGTGGAGTCATGCACCCCATACGCCGCAGGGCTAGATCGGTTCCTACTACTTTATACAGGTAACCTCCCTAGGTTTTGACCCACTTTCGCCACGCTAACCCTGAAAGAGGGTATTCAATTTTCCCACAAGGGAATTGAATTCTGGGTAGATAAAACAGAATACATTTTGATATCAAATGGATCGTTTTTCAGTCACAACGGCGATAGTCCGCAAGGTCTGGCTCGAAAATACGTTTAGAGTCAGCATGCTATTCCATTTTTGCGAATCTAAAGTATTTGGAGTGTTCTATACCCCTAGTATACCGAAGTATATACTTTTGGTTCAGATTCCTTCATATGCCTTGCCATTATGCCATGACTTGAACATCTAGACTGGATATTTTTTTCCATAAGTGCAGTAAGTTGGCCAGCAAATAGGAGCAGTCAAATTGAAGCATTCTCTCTTGTGACCTTGTCCGTTTCTATTATAAACAAATGAAAAAAGAATGCTAGGAGAACGCTTGTTTGAGTCAATATTGCTCAGCAGACGATATTCAAAAGGTCAAATCAGCCTGATCACCGGCAATGGAGGCCCTGCTATTGGTTCTTCTGTTACTAACCGGTCACCATGGGTTCACCACATACCAGTTATCTTATTGACTTGAAAGTTAAAATGCATGTCTTCAAAGCAACCTGTACCTTATCAGAACGAAATCCTTAAATCAAGAAAAATATGTTTCGAAAATATGTGATTGGGCAACTTTTTTCTGCTCATGACTACCTAAGTGGCAGTCCCAATCAAGATGCTGTATGCGATGCACTGGGTGAGAAGACCTCATTGTGATAGTTGTGCCTGAGTGTGCTGATATATAAAAAGGGGGAATGATGCGGCGTGACTGAGGGACCGCGTATCAGTGGGTTTGTCCCTCATGAGAATCGTACATTAGAAATAGCGTGTCGGAGGTGGACAAAAATATTAAACTGGACTAACCTTCACAAATCTAAAAAATGCGGTGGCATAGCGGCCAGGACCCTCTTATAAATGTCAGCTAGATCGACCGCCTCTCTTTTTATGGGTGGTTGGTGACGGCTCATGTTGAATGCATCTCGTACATGTACATGTATCTTGCGTGAAATGTCAGATGACTCAAATTCAAGGATCTTGGATGAATTCAAGTCAATACTGTGGCCGATCTACCTGACATTTTACAAGGGTCCTGGCCGCTTTACCACCTAGCGGTCATTGATAACAACATCTACTCACATCAGCCTGATGGAGGCCAACGTCCAGGTTGGCCGTAAGCTAAAGGTTGTACATATTTCGGATTGTGTTTAATAATTATCATGTACGAGTCCGACAATCAATAAGCAAAGACGTAGATTAAAAAAATATATATTCAAATTCATCGTCCTACATGTAGTCCTTTGGGGAGTTTCGGTATAATAGATGTCAATCACAAATTACCAGTATAATCCTGCGTTATAGTTTTTGTACACCCTACATCATCTTCTACTTTTAGAAATATGGCACCAGTTAGAAACCGAACAACTCGCGACTCGTGCTAAAAGTTTTTCCTCTGATTGACATATTGATTTCCGGTGCATGACACCACAACGAGGCTATTAACCATAACCACACACAAGATTCCTTTTGTTTACAGTCCTGAGCGACAATGGCTTGTTTCCTCTCAAAAAATTAGGTGACAAGATATTTGGACATATAAAACTGTTTAAAATGTTCACAGACCTTTTAAAATAATAATAATTGAGATCTTCTTTCGTGTTTCCTGATGACTGCAAATGATTACGCGGCATTCTAATACTGACACACTGATCCGACCTTGGCTAACTTTTTCTGTACACTGTTGATAAGGATGATGGATGCAGTCAGGAGTGCATTGACCAAGTATAGCGCAGCCATGGTTAAAAACGCTGGCTTGTATGATCCACTAATATCATAAATAACACCTGAAAAGAAAAATAAAACCTTAGTCGTCGCCAGACTAATTATTTTACATTAGAAAAATCACTTTTTAAGCCAGTTTGGAATAATACGGCATTTCAGAAATAGGTTGTCCTAAACCCTTAATTCGTCTTTGTTTTATTATATTTTTTTTCCATTTATTTTTGAGTTTTTTTATTGTTAACGGAAACAACACGAGAAGGCTTTTTTTTTAGCAATTTATTATTCTGACAATCTATTTAAACAAATTTATGACATTTTCTTTAGCCTCTTCTTGCCTTCGTAGTACTTTTTTCCTTTATTTTTCAAGACACTCAAGTTGTCGTGTGCACTATGTTAAGATAACATTCTGGATGCATACCCGATAGAAAGGGGCCAATAGCCGCTCCCAATCCCATGCCAGACCACAATATAACAAACAGAGTCTGTACATCCTGTCCACTGAGTGCTTCACCACAGGAAGCATACCAAGCTGCTATGATGGGCCCTTGACCAAGCCCTAAGACTGAAATATATAAAAAATATGAATGTCATGAAGCACAGTGGTCGTTTTTTACTGTCAAAATAAACTGATTTGTGTGATACATAATCAGGCTATGTTTGAAGGATTATCTTTTTGTAGATGTTTGAGATATGAAATATAAAAATGTAACGGAAAAGATATTTTTGTCTAAAAAGTGCAATATTGACTCATGAATGCATATTAAGATATTTGTGAGTCAAAGACTGGACAAATGTAAAAGGTACCTAAAGGTAGATCAAAATTAGATTCCCTGTATAGTATTTTGAAACAACAGTATATCGTGTTACTGAATTCAAGTTATGCAAAGCACAATTCAAGGAGAAAGGGTTTACAGTTTTGCTGTTAAATTACCATCTGTTTTTTATTTAATTCTATTTCGGTCTAATTCTACTTATTTATGTATTTAATATTTTGTTACTAACTGTTTTCCCATTCCCAGTCAGTGTACAGGTAGCCAGTATGGCAACAAAGGAATGAACTCTTACCAGTACTGAATATAAACATCCCCGTCAATGTTGTAAAATATGGGACTAGTATGTTATTAATCATGAGTAAACCAGCACAAATTACGTAGATGTAGAGAATATTTCCTTTCACACGGTCCCCCAGTGCAGACACGAGCAGACGACTCAAAAATCCCGCCACGCCGTCCGCAGTCAAACAGTGAGCGCCATCTGCTGACGTGTATCCTAAATCCTCCACTTGCCTTACCTGGATTAATAAGTGGCATTGTTAAAATATTAGTAGTTTGACATATAGATTAAGGATGGCTTTCTGGATGAGCATATCGAAATATGAAATATGAAAAATAAGAGTTAAATACGACATGGGTGGCTAAACTATTGCGAGAACACGCGCACGCGAGAGAGAGTGAAGCAGTTTTGACAAAATTCATTATAAATACCACCACTGGCCAACTATCTTGTCTCTCTTTTAATTCGTATTCTACGTCCACTTAAAACTGCTTGGATCGAAACGCATTGTTATCGGTTACCACTAATAAAATCCTTGCAGAAGTTCAAACGCGATTATTATTGAGTACTAACCTCTTACGAGAAACAAGTTGTCAAATTCGAAATTTCGTGCTATGTAAATTATAAAATGGCTTTTATCTGACTTCAAATCTCGTCAATACTTTGCATCTTACCAAAATTGCATAGGAAATTGTTTGGCATATACCCTTGCTCAGGTAGATGACAAACCACATCACAATGACAACAACGCGAATCTGCTTACTCCATTTTATCTCAACAGAGGGCGAGACTTCCTGCTTTGGACAAATGAGATACTCTGGCTGTATCGCTTCTTGTAACACCTCCTTAGTTGGCTTATATAACGTGTGGATTGATACGGTGGCCCACAGCGCGTAAAAGGTCGCTAGAACCAGATACCCGTATCTCCATCCTATAGATTCGTGTAACCATTGTATTAAGTTTCCGAAGACGACGGTGCCTGAAACAAAAGCATAATGTTTATTCTGCTGTAAAGACCAGATAAAAACTTCTGGATTCTGTCAAAATGGAAATTTTCTGCCTGTCTTTTTTGTTTGTCCCCACTTAACTTTCTATCATACAGTTATGATTTTGGTAGGAAAAAAAATCCGTTTTTCTCTGAACGCACAGTATGACCTTGATTTAATGTATCTCCCTTGATGTCCATGCTCAAAACTTCGCATTAAAAGTACGCACATGAAATATCATGCAGACATGCATAGAGAGTAGCATAATTAGTATAACCTACAAAATCTTATTTGATAATGCCCATAGGACACACAGAAGCCAAATCAGTGAGGACGTTGAGTGGTACCCTAGACCACTGTAAAAATATGGCTTATCTTAACGCTCTACATAGCTGTTTCAATGTTGTACAGACATTCTCTCTGCAAATCTGTGGTAAAATGTAAGACATAACTAAACCCAAACATCCGAGTAATCCCAATACCTCGTAAACTGGCGTCAAGTCAAGCGAGATTTCAAGGAATTGAGAGGAAACTGGGATTAGAAATAATGACAGACTATAAACTAAGGTACAGCAACAATGAATTTAAAAAAAGCTAACAGGATTTATCCACGGATACTTTTCTGGTTGTTTTCAGTCAAGTTCACATATATATCTGGGAAAACTTACTGAACGGATCCGAGTTTCTCTGTGAACCTTGTAGTGGGTGGTTATACCCATCTAGTATTATATCTGCTAACTTTCATGGGTCAATTAGCCTGAATGTCCATGTATTGACAACAGACAGCTGAAGCGAAATAACTTACCTAGGGGCATGGTAACCATGGCCCAGCTAGTGCACATCACGTGGTATCTATGTTCCCATGGAAACCAGTCGGCTACGATGAAGAATAATGGCGATACAAGGATGTTCATCCCGAGGCCGTATAGGACGCCATTGGAGAATATAAGGTATGTAGCACTGGGGGCAATTGCAGATAGGCTTAATCCTAATACGACCAACAACGTCCCCACAAACGCTGAAATCTTGTAGCCGCTGTGATTTGATGTGATCTTTCCTATAAAGCTCGTGGCGCTGCAGCACAGGAAAAAGACTGATTGGATACCACCTGGGAGACAATAAACAGTTAATTAGTGTAGGCAATATAATTTTCTCTATGTTAAGTAAAACTTTGAAGATTTAATGTAAAAGTGTGGCGTGTTATGTTCAAACTTATCAAATATCTTATTCAACAATTGCAGCAATTCACAAATGGCGGTTTACTTTTTTCTCAAATTCGTTGACAGAGGTTAAAAATGAGAAGGCAAACTGCACTCTGTTTTGAGGTACCAGAATATATTTACTACATGTAGTTACAAGTAAATAAAAGAGAGGTCGACAATTGTTTCTTAGCATCGTTAAAGGTTTTCCGTCAGACCGTCAGAATGGCCTGAACGGAGCATATTCTTCAGAAAACATGCCCAAATAACGATATCTTTAACCAAATACACATATTAAAAGCTCATTTTGTAAATTTTTGACTTATGAGCTACGTGGTCACGTGGCCCGATGACGACAATCGTGCCACCGGAGGAGAGAGAGACAAGCAGCGTGTTTAGCTGTCAAACTGAGCTGCATTGTCTACCTGTAAGATGATTTTCTGGCTCCTGATAAAAGTTCAAACTCATTCAGATCTCTTACCCCAGGGCTCTAAATCCTCGTGAAGCTGTGTAAAGCCATTTTCCGTCTATTCAATATATTAGATTAACCTCAGCCTGAGTTTTTATCACTACTACTAGTAGTTGTATTGTTGTTGTTTTCATGACTTTATATTTTTATTGCAACAGTTTAATATGGCAATTGTAAACGCACCATTGTTCTGACACCCTGTCTTGCATACTTTTATTCAACCGAGGTAAACAATGCGTGTTACCTTAACAAGTCCTATCTTAATAGTCCATATAACTGGAACTTCCTTCACCTTCCTTAAAGGACAATAGTCATATAAAAATCCATTTCTCGAATTTTGAAGATTCAGCACTCAAATTATACACTAGAGGTATGTTTTAATCGATCCCCGCCATTTAAAAATTATAAAAACAATCTATTAGTAGTAAAAAAGCGTTTTAGTAAACCTCACCTCAATATGCATAAATGAAGCAACAGATCTGGGTCACGTGGTACTGTGACGACAATCACGATAAAGGTCTATGAGACTCAACTGAGCTGCATGGTGCATACAGACGGAGATGTTAAGGAAAGTTGTGTTGAACGGAGTTGAGGAATTTTCGTTATGCCTCGGTGTGTTGCCGTGGGATTTACCAAAATTGCAGCTCTCGTTGACAATCTTTCTTTGTCTGTGACGGTCTTCCGTGACTTACTTACTAACTTCGGTGACAATAGTTGCGATGCTCTAGATCATGGTCACCTCAGGTGGTTTAGATCATATCAAGAGCTGGTAGTCTTTCAGATTAACTGTCATCAGTTGGCAAACTTACTGATTGCTGATGCATTTTAAATGCATTGTAGTTGACCAAAAGCTCGTTTACAACAAACCTGTTAA